ACGCGAAAAGACAGAGCCTTGTCGAGTCAAACTTAAGCATCCCCTTCCATCACACCGCGGCGTGCGTACCCCTCCCCCCCCCCCTCCCCCCCAGCCCACCTACCACTGCATGGAACAGTGGGACGCCCTGCATGCCATGCTCCTCTACGAGATCCTCGAGATGGGCGTGGCGCCCGTCGACGAGTCCGAGAGTTGGAAACGGAAGCGTCGCACCAAGGGGCTCAAGTCGCCCTTCCTCTCCAAAATGACCCAGTGTTTCTCGCGGTCCTACCTCGAGTCGCACGATGCCGCCCTCCTGCCCGCCCCCGACGCCCACGGCTCCTGGGTCAAATGGGCCGTCACCGAGACCGCGCGCCGCACCATCTTCCTCGCCAACATCGTCAACTTCTTCAGCAACCGCGATTTCGAGTCCGGCCGCCAGTCGCCCTACTACGAGCCCCTCAACGACGAGCTCATCATGAAGATGCCGCTGCCCTGCAACCAGGCGCTGTGGAGCGCCCGCACCGAAGACGAGTGGCGCAAGGCCTCGCAGATGGCCACGCCCACGTCTCCCGCGGGCTCCCCGGGCACCACCGACCCTTTTTCTACCTTTGCTGCTGCTGCTGGTGCTGGTGCTGGTGGTCCGCACATCCCCGTCGGCGAGCAGCTCCCGAATACCCATCAGCAGCCCTCGCTCAAGGTGCTTTTCTCCAAGTTCGCCAAGGACTATCTCCGGGCGAACTTCGCGACGAATGCGGGGTTTGCCGACTCCAATGAACTTCGCTCGTTCATCATTCTCTGTGCGCTGGAGCAGTTTTCGTGATTACAGACGCAATCTGGGTTTGGTCATGGCTGGCATCCAGACGGTCAAACATGGGAGATGTACTGTAACGCTTGGATTATGCGGTTATATGTTAATGACGTTCATGAATGTATTCATCGAGTTGTTTCCTACGCTATTTCTTTATTTTACTAGCTGGATACGCCTCTAGTAGAGTCCTCCGATGAGCAAACGAGCAATCAAATTGAGAAATGCAATGTTGCCAGTATCATACATTTCCCCTGATCCAATCGAATCCCGACAACGATACTTACCCAGTTGGCCAATGCTCAAGACGCACTCGCAACAGCCGGCTGCGTCACAGCCGCCCGGCTCGCAGAGGTCTTCTCGTTCTCCCTCAGACTGTGGCCGGCAACATGCAACTGCTTCACGCGCGCCTTGACATGCTCGCCCGCCACCACGGGCTCGAAGCGGGCCGGGTTCGCCGCCGACACCAGCGCATCCAGCGGCTTCACCAGCAGATCCAGATTGAAGTGCCCGAAGAAGGCAATCGAGTAGCGGTCCGGGACCTGGTCGGTGGACGCGCCGTTCCGCGTGGCCGGGGGCTCCACGACCCGGTGCACGGTGGATGGGAGAACCCCGTTGAAGAAGCGGGAGAGCAGATCGCCGACTAGTCAATCAGTCTCTGCATACGCTGCGGTTGGGAAAGATGGCACTCACCGTTCAGGACCGCACAGTCCTCCTTGCGCGGGACATACTCGTACTGGCCATTGCGCAGCACCTGCAGGCCCTCGCCCGAGTCGTTGAACAACAGCGTCAGACATCCATAGTCCGTGTGGGCCGCGGCGCGGACCCGCGTGCGGAACGACTCGGGCTCCGTGGCCGGGTAATGCAGACAGGCGATGAAATGGTTCTTCTCGCTGATGAACGGGTGCAGCGTCTCGGCGGCGAGCCCGACCTCCTCGGCGAGGGCGCCCAGCAGCTCGAGGACGACCGCGTGGCACGAGTCGAAGAAGCGGACCAGATCCGCGCGCATGGCCTGCGAGTCGGCGTCCGGCAGCCACTGGTTGGGCTTCGCGGTGTCGTCGTCGCGATACATGCCAAAGAACTCCTTCAGGTCCGAGGTCTGCGGGTTGTGCGCCAGCTTCAGCGGGTTGGAGTAGCCCTGGCTGGGGCCGCGGCCCTTGTCGAGCTGGCCGAGGATCTGCATCTTCTCGTCCAGCGGCTTGGCGAAGAAACGCCGGGAGTGCGCGAAGAGCTCGTCCACGGTGGCCTGGTTTACCCCGGGGTGCTTCAGGTATGCAAAGCCGGTGTCGCGGAGGGCCGTGAAGAGTCGACGGCGCTCGTCGAGGGAGAGGGGCGTGCGGTGGCCCGATGCATCCTTTTCGCTGAGGGCTGTGAAGTCGATGACGGGCAGGTCGACGGTGTCGTGGTTGACCATGGTGGGCGATTGCGATTGATGTCGTATGGCAGGGTAAGTGAGGTCGGTTTATTCAGGAAATCCTGATGATTTCGAATGAGTTCATGACGACTGAGGCCAGATATAGCTTTTACCATCTGTCCCACAAAGTCCACTCACCACATCAGCTGCCGTAGAACCCGCACCTTCAGTCCGCAGTCCGATTCATGCTTCATGTGCTCGAAGTGTATTGCATTGTATGATTCGAACAATGTCTGGACGGCGGAATCTGTTCTGGGCTGGTTTTGCGGCGCCGGAGTTGGTGGTCGTTTGACGACCATGAACTCCGGCGTGAGGACCATACGCAATTGGTCAGTTCTGCAACTGACAGCAGCTGTTCCTGGTTGCTTTCTTCTATTCCAGCAGTCGATGTCCTTCTCCTCAACGTCCACAAACTCCGGCGGCCGCAATCCACACCTGGACTCTGCAAGCAAAGCCAACGGAGATACGCAGCACAAGAAGATCAATCAGATATGTAATTTGTCAGCTCCGCATCAGGACAGTGACTTCCCTGGTTTTGCTTTCCTCCGTTCCCCTTCTTCCCCTTCCTTGGTATAACTACGCAGCATGGCACCATGCATCTGAGTCTTGGTATCCTTCGGATCCTCCTCCTTCAGACGGTCTTTGACAACGACATGATCAGAGCTGCAGCCATGAAAGCCACCGCAGACACTGCATTTCGCCTGTCCGGGCTCGGTGCCGGAGGCGCAGGCGCAGGCCATATCCTGGTCGGCCAGAGTATCCCCGTCCGGCCTGACGCCGGCGCACACGACAAGGGCACCCCCCGCGAGGCCTGGGGCCTCAAGTCCGGTCTCTACACGCCCCGCCAACTGGTCGAAGGGTTTGCGCCGCTGCTGGACACGGTCGTTTTCCGTCTGGGCCCCGATCCACCGAATGCCAGACCGGCGCGGGCCCAACTGCTCGACAACCTGGCCGCCAATCTCGACACCAACACCCGCGAAGCCACCCTGCACTTCCCCGACACCGACCTCGATGACTCCCGCCAGGAGATCGCCGAGCAGGCGAGACGCATCGGACGCACGCTCGTCCAGTACGCGCGCAACCACACGGGCGGCCCGTTCAATCCCGACCTCTACCTGCGCAGCCCCTGCGAGGGCCATCTCCTCATCCCGCCCAACGTCGACCTGATGTTCGGCCGCCGCAGCCAGTCGCATCTGATGCAGCTGTTCAACGAGTACATGCACCAGATGGTCCTCCTGCGGGACGCCCTGCTGCCGTTCAAGAACTACGAGGACGTGGTCATCCCCGTCGACGGCCGCGCCGCGCGAGGCATCCGGCATCTCGAGCCATCCCGGGCGGAGTTCCTCACCCACCTCCTGACCAAGGAGGTCACCCAATCGGCCATCATCAAACACGCCCAGGCTCTCCTCGCCCCGGGCCTCCTCTCGCGCTCCAGCCTGACGTCCCCAAAGGCTAGCCCCGGCTACGGCTTCCAGTACGCCCACGGCCTAGTCCTGCCCGCTTTCCTGGCCGGCGGTCCGACTCCGTTCCATCTGCTCCAGTATCTCCCCGCCAAGCTGGTCGACGACGCCCCCACCGACGTCGTCTTCGACTACCGCATCCAGGACTACTATCTCGCGCCTCGCGTCGAGATCCCCGCCGGCACCGAGAAGTCTCCGGCCGCAGGAATGGGATACCCCTTGGCCAACGGCTGGGGCACACCGGCCCTAGCCGTGCAGAGCACCAGCATCGGAGTCGTTCCCCCAACCCCGTCGTCCCAGACAGTCCGGCAGCTGGACCTGCAACTCCAGCTCGAGAACGGCCAGTGCGTCGCCGTCGATCTGGGACAGGTGGCGCGCGGCCATCGCTACGCCTACCAGGCATCCAAGGCCAGCGAGTCCGCGGCCTCCACCAACGGGAGTAAGACCAGCGGCACGGCCCCCGTAGTCCACGTCCACGTCCACGACGCGGCCTCCGTCCTCCTGGAGACCGGAGGCGACGGCGACGGCCTCGTGACGGCGCAGAATGGCGGGCTGCATGTGATCCCCGTGCAGGACCCCGTCGTTGCGCTGGCGCTTCTGGGGAAGCTCTACCCGGGGAACGTGGTCCTTCTGCCGGAGTCGGAGGACCTGGCGCAGGCCGAGAAGGCCGGGAAGGGGCTGGAGCCGAAGTTTGTGCTTTGGGGCGGCGTGGAGCGTGGTGGGTTCCGGGGGAAGTTTTAGTTGCGTTGTTGCACTTGCACATTAATGTCAGAATCTCGTTCGATCTTCTTAGCTGCAGTTGTCGTCCTCGATTCGAGTATGTAGGTAGCTTGAAGGTATAAGTAGATCGTCTTGCCGTCAACCAGATGATACACAGTACTCTAGAAAGTGAGACGTGTGGGATTCAAGAGACGGACTTGTGCCGTCATTGCAGACCGGCATGAGCGAAAAGTCGGAGTATCATCATTAATATTCAAAGGGCATACCCTACCACTATTATCAATTATCCACAACCGAGAATCATCCATTATATGCCATAGCCCAAGCCAAGCATCAGCCTAGTCTCCCTCCCTGCCATTGAACTCACATACAGTCTGCTAAAGCAGAGGCTTCTATGGAAATAGGGCATACGGATGGGGGCATTCAACCCGGCCAAATCACGCAGCGTGTAAATCGTGCACATACAGTCTGCTGAAGTAGAGGATTCCATGGAAATAGGGCAACTACTGCTGCTTCTTGGTTTCGCGGCTCTTGGCCTTTGTGATGAGGCTCAACCCAACCTCGGCCGACTCCTTCCACCCTCTCTGTCTCATCCAGAAGCGCTCGGTTGGATCAGTCCCCTGCTTGGACAGGCGTCTAGCCTCTTCCTCCAAGGACTCGCGAGTAATCTGAGACGGCGGGACGGAAGATACGACACCCTTGACCTCCTCGGCATCGTCGTCGCTCTCCGCACTGAGCACGGAGTCGAGGTATCTCTTCCGCATCATGAAGCGCTCCGCCCGTTCACGACGGGTGTTCGGAGGCTCCAGCTTCGCCAGGGCACTTCGCACGGCGTAGCGCACGGTCAGGTAGAGGTGCTCGGAGAAGAAGATCGTCAGCAACAAGGCCCAGCACCGAATTGTCGTCGGCTCGCCGTTGGGGCCCTCATGCCCGTTACTAAACATATAGACAAGGGCCGCGCTGGTGATGCTTCCCACCCAGGAGAGGAATCCTAGGCTGTCCAGCCAGGGTCCAATGGTGTCCGCACGCTGGGGCCAGGGTCTCCTGTACTCGGCGCAGATCTTGAAGAAATCAGACCGCAGCTCGACCCAATTGTTGATCAAAAAGGACACGGGAACAAGTGGCCACACGGGGGAGAACAGAGCCAGATAGCCGAACTGGATACACATCTCCCGCAGATCGTCGGTGACATCATAGTCCTCCAACTCCGCTTCGTTGCGCACGCGAGTGAGGAATTTGGCCTCATCTTCGTTGTCGCCGAGGGAGACGGGCTTCTTCTCTCCCGCACCGTTCCCTGGCTCTGCCTTTGCATGTTGTTTCTTGGCGTATGCCTTATATTCGCGGAATACACGTTGCTTGACAAACGGAACGATGGTTTCGAGCGCGAAACCGACAATCTGGGCAGTAACGGTAAAGTAGATGACCTGCTTTCGCAGCCGATCCGGATCAATGGTGAATTCGGTTCGAGCCTTGGTTGCATGCTCTTTGGACACGAATGGCCGAACAGTGAGTTGGAATACATCGAGGTAAGGCACGATCCGGCTGGCGAATGGCACATAGACAAAAGCCGTCAAGATGATAGGGAGGTATGAAGTGATGAAGTTGACAACAAAGGTTTTTTGTGTCAATGCCACCTTGTAGGCATCCTGAGTCTCGTAGTTCTCGTAATCATTCAATTTGGTCGCAACCGTCAGCAGGACCGCACTCATTGTTGGTATAAGCGCAGATACCAAGATAGTAGGAATGAATACCTGCATCATTAGCTATGAGGCTTGAGAAATGCTTGCGATGACACGTACCAGGTACTGCTTGAGTGGACCGTTGTAGATCTCGGATATGAAAATCTCAATCGCAAAGCAGGTGGCAATGATGGCACCCAACGCGACGGCTGCAAGCAATGCGAATGGGACTTGGAGGAGCTGTCGATACATCCGCTTCGTAGCGGGAAACACCCCGCGAACCTCGCCGGTGCTTTCATCACGAACTTCCTTTTCGGGTTTGAACTCGGCTCTCTTTTCGTGAACCGCGGAAACGCCCTTGGTCTGCCACCGACAACTGAGATCCTCCTCCTGACGCTTCCAATACTCGATAAAGATGATGCACCAGAGGCAATTGACCACGGTGTAGACGATCGAGAACGAGCCCAGCAACAACCAACAGGAGAACCCGAACGCTGCCGGGAACATCAAGAACCGAAAATACGACTGCAAGAACGCAAAATAAAAGCCAACCTGTAGCTCCTGTCAGTTAAGAGCTCCTATAATTCGAGGACAAGCTCACATATTCTCCAAACGTATTGCGGATCTGGTCCAGGTCCTCAGTTGACAGAAACGTCTTTTTGCTCCAGTCCCTCATGCACTGCCTGTTGGTCTCCTCGTCGTGCAGCGGAAAGATCGCATCGACATTCTTCCACTCCCCATGGCGAGGGGTGATGCCCGCACCACCCTCTGCTTTTGGAACCGTAATCAAGTGGTAGATAACACGAAGGCGCTCAGCTTCCGACTGTGGCTCCGCAGAGCTCGCCGGTTCGGGTTCGGTATTCCGGACGCCATACAGCCAATCTCGAACACTTTGAAATCACAAAAGTTAGCATACAACTCTGCAAAGGTATCATGAGACGCACCGAGACTGGTAGACCGCGCGTTTCAGCTTCTTCTTGCTTGCGGCCCGCACAAAGATGAAAAGGGAGTTCTCGTCGCCCTGTCGAACTTCCGTCTGCAAGCCTACCTCGGAGAGCTCGAGAAGAAGCACCTCAAATCTCTTGATTGCTTGCGAGGTATCTAGAACAATCAGATCGCGGCCCACTCGCTGCCTCAGAGCGACCTACCAATATCCCCATAATTGAAGCGGATGACGTAGTCGACATGGTGATTCTCTTGAACGGCCTTGGGAGCCGGAATGGAAGCCATACTATAGCAATTTAGAGAATTTACAATGGCATAGGAATGTTGACATTAAGAATATCGTCTGTCGAATAGCGAAAAGGGAGCGAGCTGGAATTGCCGTCACCGCATTATTGCGCCCTGACCAGGTTGACTGCCGATGACGACATGGGGAAGCTTGCTGCTCTAGGGTTAGCCCTAAGTTCTGTTGAAAGGGGTTAGCGCGGTTACCATCCATTTGATCGATCCATCTCAGTAGACGAAATGTGCTGGATATCTTCGGATTGTCCGTGGCTGTTCTTTACCTGAACCGATTATAAGCGGAAGAAGGATGACGCAAAAGGTGAATGATACTGACTCAAACACAAAATCCAGGGTATCACGCTTGACTATCGAAGAAGCTACAGTCTACATGTATACAGAGCACACCAGTTTTGACAGGATAACACCTGCTATCAAAGCTTCCAAGTCGAATGAAGACATGCAACCAGCTCATCGTCACCCCTACAGTCCCTCGGCCAACTTATTCAGCGCAGGCCCCTCGACCATCATCTTCATCCACTCCTCCATAGCCTGAGCCCCGACCTGCTTGTAAAACTTGATGCTCGGCTCATTCCACTTGAGGACACTCCACTCCAGGCGGCGACCCTTCACCTCCAGTACCTTGGCAGCCAGGTACTTCAGAAGCTTGAATCCGTATCCGTTGCCCCGGGCGCTGGGCTGCACGTAGAGATCCTCGAGGTAGATCCCCGGAGCCGAACGCCATGTCGAGTAGTTGTAGAAGAACAGGGCCATGCCCACGGGTACGGGAGATGGATTCTCTGCTGTGGCGGGAGGGATAACGAGGGCTGTGTAGACGGAGCCTCGCTTGGGGGTGTCATCGGGGAAGGAGAGGGTGGCTAGGAGGGATTCTTCGGTGGCTTCGACCTCATGGAGGGCCTTTTCGTAGTCGGCCAGTTCCCGGATGAATTGGAGGATGTATGGGACATCTGTGAACACGGACAGGGTCAGTAAGGGGCCGTGGTACAGCGTATGCGGAGAAACACTGCAGGGAATGCGGGGTGAACTTGCCCTCGGGAGTTGCCAGTCTGATGGTAGCTTCCCCAGACATTGTGATAAGGATTCGTAAATGAAAGTATCGAGTATGATGGTCTTTGTACAGCTTTGCAATTGAGACAGAGTCAAAAGTATAGACGTGTAGGAAACTGTCAAGTTGATGTCCCTATTTAAATGGCCGAAGACCGAAGAATAAAATCCCTGACCGTGACCCCACCTCGGTTCTGGAACTATATCGACCGCACCACACGCCCTGCGAATGACATCTATGGAGTATGCATAAAGGGAGGAAGAAAATACTATATGCTCTTCAATGTCAAACAAACACGCTCAAAGGACTAGAACTCAGGTCCATGCGAATCATCGAGATGTTATGGCAGCCATCCACTTTTGCTCGTCCGTTCTGTTCTAGATGTCAGCATCAACTCCACAAGCTAAAGAATTAGGGTACTCACCGATCGAAATGAAGCAGCATCCCCAGGACCGGGATCAGCTGCTTCTGATAGTTCTTGTCCTTCTGTTCCAAGAATTGCAGGAGCACATTCTTCAAGTAGATGTAGTCAATCGGTGCTCCCGTCGGCGTTTCGCTCCTCCGCGTCGATGGACTACGGTCCTTCGATACGGGAGAGTCAATTGATGAACGCGAGGACTGAGGGTTCTGGACTGCACGAGTTTCGTCCGACAACATCCGGTTGGACTTGCGAAGCTTCTCAAGGCGGCTGTTCGTTTCCTCCACGGAACGACGTAGCTCGGCCTTTTCTTTCTCCAAACCACGGACTTGCTTCTCGCTTTCGTCCAAAGCGTCGCGTAATCGCGCCATGGCCTGGCGGATGTCGTTGAGCTCCTGCGCTGAGCGCTCCGACTGTTCCTCGAGTTGATCCCGTCTGCGCTTCCAGTCCTTTTGGGATCGCTCGAGTTCTTCCTTATCCTCCTCCGCCGTTCTCAGCGCTTTTTCAGCTTCCCGAACCTTGGTTTTGAGCTCCTCGAGCTCTCGGGCCCGGCGCCGACCCTGAGCACTGGCCTCGTCTTCTGCCCGATCGCGTTCCTCAATGGCGGCCTCCATCCGCTCCTTGAAGTCGCGAACCTTGGCCTCAGCCCGGCCCTCGATGTCGTTGAGCAAGCGCCGCATCGTTTCCCCCTCACGCGTCCGCTCGCTCAGCAAGCGATGCGCATCGGCCAGTTCTTCCTCCAAGCTCTCACAGCGTTCCCGGGCCTCCTTCATTTGCATGGCTAGCTCAGCACTCTGGTCGCGCATACTGTTCATCAGACTCTGCGCGCTGGCGTGCTGTGCGGTTTTCAGCTGGATTTCCTCCCTTAGACCGCCCAGCTCGTTGTTTAATTGAGTAACCTTGTTTTCGACCTCCCGCAGCTGAGATCGAGCGCTCTTGAGCTCAGCTTGCGCTCTGGATAGGTCTGCTGCAATCTTCTCCTTTGTTTCAACGGCTTCCTGCTTCTTGCTCTCCGAGTACCGCAAGTCAGATTGAGCAACGGTTAGGGACTCCTCGGCCTTGAGACGGCTGTCTGTCTCCTGTCTGATCTTCTGGTTGAGGGTCTTCACCTCAGCGTCGCGCTCGGAGATCGTAGACTTGAGTGTCTTGACTTCGGCACGTAACTCCTCATGTTTTCCCTCCAGTGTCCTCAATTCAGATGTCTTGCCCGCCAGGGCCTCTTTTGCCGATTTCAGTTCCGAAGATTCCGCCCGCAGGCTCTTCAATTCTGGTTGCAATTTCTGCAAAGTCTCCCGCAAATCCGTCAAATCCTTGAACCTGGTAGCGGCCAGTTGCTGGGCGGCAGAGAGCTCAGTCTCGAGGTTGGTGAGTTTCCCTTTGAGGTTCTCGTAGTCCTCCTTCAGATCGCTGTGCATCTTCTCCGAGTCAGCGCTCTTGGAGGCATGGCTCGTCCGCACATCAGTCAATTCTTTCTCCAACTTGGAGATGGTCTCCTCTAGAGCCCTCTTTTCTGCAGTTAGTTCCTTGATCTTGTCCTTCGCTTCGACATGATCTTGGCCAAGGTGAAGTAAATCATCACGTAAGGATTCGATCTCTTCTTTGAGGTCCTCCTCTCCTTTGAGTTTCGAGCTCAGACGGTCGATTGCTGCCTCCTTCTCTTCCAGTTGATGTGTCAGCGACTGGATCATTTGCTCGAGTTCGGCCAACTTCGAAGTTGCTTGATCGGACTCTGCTGTGTGCGATTCCTTGTCCTCGAGTACGGCGGTACTGGTAGCCTTGGCTGTATCTTCTCCGCCTTTTCCGCCCTTCTTCTTCTTGTTCTTCTTCTTTTTACCCGCGCCCGCGCCACCGGTCAAGCCATTTGCTGGAGGCTCTGGCTCTGTAGCCGCATTGCCGCCCCCCGATTCTTTTTGAGGGGGTGCCAGGCTCTTTCGGAAGTGGTCAAAGTCGGGGGCCTGTCCGCTCGCGGCTTGATCTCTGGTTTGCTGCCACTCGGCGCTGTCTTTCAGGTTGCTATTTAGAAAATCAACGATGTTCTGCAGCTTGCCCAGATCTTCGACTTTGTGGCCCATGTCAGCCTTGAGATCCGACACCACTACTTCCGTGTCTTTGAGCTGAGACCGCAGGTTGTCCACGAGGCCCTGGAGAACTCTCAATTTCTTCTCGCTAGCATCTTTCTCCTTGGTGACCTCTTCCAACTTTGCAAGCAACTCTTGTTGCTGGTCTTTGTCCTTCGACTGCGCGACTTGATCCTGGAGCTTCTCGATTTCTTCCGTCTTCTGCTTCAATTCAGTCTTTAGTCTCTCAGCCTCCTCGCCTGCCTTGGCAACGGCATCCTCGGATGCTGCGAGCTTGGCTTTGAGATCGTCGACCTCAGCCTGCCGGGTAGTCTTCAGCTCCTTGATCTCCGAATCCTGTTTGTCTTTAATGTCTCTCAATTCCACAAGCTCGCGAGTTGCGGATTCCAGATTCTGCACCATGCCCTCCGTTGACTCACGAGCGACCGCAAGATCGCGCTTGAGCGACTCAGCCTGCGACTTGAGAGTTTCCACCTCTTCCTGCTTCTCCTTCAGCTCAGACTCCAATCGGGGGAGTTCATTATCGAACGAAAAGAACTCCTCGCTTTCTTCTTTCGTTGGCAGTTCCTTCTTTGAGGTGGTATCTTCAGCAGCAGGGGTTGTCTCGTCCTTGGCGCCTTGCCTCGTGTCCTTGAGATTGGCGACCTCGTCCCAAGCCTCCTTTGTCGACTTCTGCGCTTCCTCCAATTTTTTCTTGTAGTCGTCCCTTTCCGTAGTGACTCTTTTGAGCTCCTCAATCACCATGTCCCCTTTCAACGTAATCTGGTTCAAATACTCAGTGAGCGCTTTCGGATCGCCAATCGACGTCAGAGGAGTGTTTTCTCGTAGCGCGGCTTCGAACGGTTCGATCGACAGGACACGTGCATGGGCCATCCGATACGCTTTGAGGAGTTCTGTGAGCAAAAAACAGTCAGCAGCCGCAGCGCAGCCATATCCACGGGCAGTATATCGAACCTTGATACCGGGATTCCAACTTGGTCAGTCTGCGTAACTTGACTCTGATCTCCGGAGGCAGCTCCGACGACAGCTGGTTTCCCTCCGTCGTAGGCACCTCCTTTCCAGCCGACGGCTCATCTGGAGATGGCTTGTCCTCCCCAACGTCCTTTCCCGACGCCGTCTCGGATCCACCTGCAGACTCCAACCGGGGGGTGGCAGATCGACTAGAGCCCTCATCGTCTCCGATCGCGAACTCCGGCTCAAACTCGTTGGGATCAGGGGTGCGGACGGGAGTCCCGGTGTTGCGTCGGGGGCGTGTAGCTCGTCGACTCGGGGACAGATTGCGGGTCGGGCGACGAGCGGAGTTGGAGCGGGAGAGTACATCTTGGGAGGATTTCTGGCGGGCCTGTTCCTCTGCGATCCGGGAATCGATCGCCTCACGTATGCGCTGTAGATTGGATGCGATGTCAATGTTAGCTCACGACGAGAAGATTTCCGATGATCGATCAAAACACAATGACAGACGGGAGACACTGTACCTGAAACATGACCGTGGAGGGCCCGCGAGCCAGGACCACGAGGAAGCTGACGAACGAGAGACAGAAGTTAAGAAGATGGGAAAAGAAGAGGAGGAGAAAAAGCAGGAGATTGAGAGGAACAATGAGAGGGATCATGAAGGGATGGGATACTGATGACGCCCTCAGCGAATGGATATGGATATCGGGCGGCCAGATCTCGGGACTGAGCCAAGAAGGGCAGAAAAAGGAGCAGCCAACGTACCACTTGGATATTACCACAGCTACAATTACGAAATAGAGATTTGAGAAACACTCTTATATGATTACAGATTACATGAAAGATAAAGATGATCAAACGGATGCCATTGACGTTCAAACGGTTCTTTATTCGAAGTAATTGTACCCAATGCAGGGGTACTCAGGCACCTTACTGCTGTTCAATTATTACAGTGTCTAGTCCAGAGCTAATAAACATGTATCCTCCTTCAGAGGTCTGTCCAAGTAGACGAGGGTCGACGATGGTTGATCTTATTGCTGCCAAACCACTGCTGCTGAAGTTCTGGCGAGCAGCGGTCAGATATATGTAGAAACGTCGCCGAAATAGACGAAACTCTGTGGTAGATGGAGTATCTCTTGAGCCGACAATAAAACAGAGGCAAGATCAAGGGCAAGATATCTCTCTTTTCTGCAGAATTACTCTGACGTTCCCCTCTCAATCGTTGCTGGATCATTGGTGGATGAGCCACTTCTCTAAGGCACCTATGGCCGATCACAAGCCTGAGCAATGAGGTGTCTTCTTTTAACTCTCCTCCTTCAACCCTCAGATCTCTTGACCCATGAACCATGAACCAGCCAAAAGACGGTCTCCTTGCACGTTTTGACATGCATGGTTGAGGATTATCCTCGATAGAGCATTATTCTCTCAGTGTCGTTAGCTCTGTGTTTTCCTCTCATGTGCGAATGACGTCGGGCTTCATTGCTGGCCTCGGAATCTTGGCTGGATTCTGCTAGTGGATTCTCTCCAACTCTGGCCGAAAGACAGGAGGAATCAGTTATGGCCGACGGAGTGGCATTGCTCGATTCTACTGGCCTGGATTCATTTTCTCCTGCTCTGTCCCCCTCTTCCTCTTCATCAACTGCCGTCGCACTGTCCCTTGCAACGTCTGCTCCCGCCATAACCGCCAGCTTTAGTATCTCCTCCCATCTGCCTCCCCCGCCTTTCCCCCCAGTGCCTTCAACTATGGCGGGGTGGATCGGATGGATTTTTTCCTTCTTTTTCCAGGTCATTCCAAGCGTTCTATACTGGGTCATCACCTTTTCTACCATCACATTGCCCACATGGCTGTTCACTCTCTTTTCCATGAGCCTGACGTTCACAATGAACTTCACGACGCTGTAAGATTGACCCCAAAACCATCGCCTCGTTCATGAGGGGTATACGCTGACCACTGCCTTGATTGGACCAACAGCTTGTTAATTGTTCTGGCGATGGTTTCGACCATCAGCTGGTTCATCCGGTACCGCTTTCTGAACATGTACAGTCGATTACCTCCCGAGCCCCAGCGTAAGGAACCGCAGGTCGACCTCTTTCCCGATGTACAAGAAGGAGACTCGAAGCCAGGGCTGGCCAATTACCTGGACGAGTTCCTCAGCGCCATTAAGGTCTTTGGGTACTTGGAACGGCCTGTCTTCCACGAATTGACTCGGACAATGCAAACCAGGAAGCTGATCGCGGGCGAGACGCTTATGTTGGAGGAAGAAAAGGGATTCTGTCTGGTCGTCGATGGGTTGGTCCAGATTTTTGTCAAATCAATGCGGGACGGGAAGTCGGACACAGATGAGGAGCTGCACCATCTCGGGGCCGAATCCTCGGACGAGGAACACCATATCGACGGGAAGCAGGGATACCAATTGCTGACCGAGGTCAAGAACGGCGCCTCGATGTCGTCCTTATTCTCAATTCTCTCACTGTTCACGGAGGACATTCAACTATGGGATACCGAGAGCTCGAATTCCAGTTCCTCCAGCATCGCCCTTCGCGCTGCCCGTGTACCCAACTCAATTCCGACTAGTCCTCGGGGAGTGATGGACAGCCCTTCCTTGGGCTTTCAAGACCACAATGACGATGCCTCTCATACGATCAGCAACGGAGATCTGTCATCCGTGCCCCCGCTGCATCTGGGAGAGTGTCGCACTCCTCCCTCCAGTCATGGCCGTCACCATCAGCAGCACCATGAACATGAACCTCGAAAGCACTCTGGCAGAAAACACCGCGAGTCGGTCCATCCTGACATTGTTGCCCGTGCGATGGTAGATACCACAATTGCAATCATTCCAGCCAGCGCTTTCCGGCGACTGACCAGGGTCTATCCGAGGGCAACCGCCCACATCGTTCAGGTCATCCTCACCCGCCTACAGAGAGTTACGTTTGCCACGGCGCATTCCTACCTCGGCCTCAGCAACGAGGTGCTGGGTATTGAAAAGCAAATGACCAAGTTCACCACGTATGATCTGCCCAACAACATGCGCGGCGCAGCTCTGGATCGCCTCAAAGACAAATTCATCAAGGAGCGGGATCGCCTAGGCTCCGAGGAAGTCACAAAGGGAATTGCCCTGCACAATCCATCCGCGGGTAGACACCGCCGATCGAGCAGCTTCCTGAGAAAAGAGGCTGCACTGCAAGCGAAGATGATGACACCGAGGCGTGCTGCCACAGTGGTGACCCCGGAGAGTGCACCCACTGATCACGACACCTATGGAGTTAGCCCAGGCGACCTGTTATCGACCATTCAATCGTCCAGGTTCGGCCCCCGATATGAGCAGCCGCCTGCAAGGCTCCAGTCTCCTTTGGCCGAAAAGGAGAACACCCATTTCCGGCTTCCTGCCATGCAAGCGCGTCACGTTTTCCGCCGACAAGACACCATGGACGAGGACGCGTTGTTCCGCGAGTGCATCTTGGATTGCATCATGAAGGGAATTGGTCTCACGGGTAGTACTCGTGACGCTTTGCGCAAAAGCAGCCATTCTGGCGATGCTTCTCCCAAGCTTCTCTCCTATGATTCTCGACGTCAGAAAGCGGTCTTCACCAACAACGCCTTCGGCTTTATTGACCCATACGAAGGCTCAGCAGATGGAGATTCGGAGTCTTTGATGTCCATGTCTGTCACGAGTGCAGGGGGGACATCGCCAGTGACCAACTTGCGGGAAGAGCTCCGTAACGACATCGAGATCGTCTATTTCCCCAAGGGGTCGGTTTTGGTGGAGCAGGGAGAGCGCCACCCAGGGTTATACTACGTGATTGATGGATTCCTGGATGTAGGCATGCCGATTGTCGAGAGAGGGGAAGATCTTGTTGGGGTGTCCAAACCAGCAACTTCGAAGGAGCCTTTTCCGACCCTTAAGCGGACGACAACTGCCACCTCGATTGGGGCGGGCGGCACCGGTGCCAACGATTCTCGCCGAAGGAAGCAATCTCGGAAGTCCCTGTATCTGATCAAGCCCGGCGGTATTCAAGGCTACGTTGGAGCCGTTGCGTCTTACCGATCATACACCGATGTCGTTGCCAAGACGGACGTGTACGTTGGTTTCCTCCCACGGGCCTCCTTGGAGCGTATCGCGGAGCGGTATCCGATCGCTCTGCTGACGCTGGCGAAGAGGCTGACGAGCCTTCTTCCCCGACTGCTGCTCCACATCGATTTCGCTCTCGAATGGGTACAGGTAAACGCAGGTCAAGTTATCTACCGCCAAGGCGACGAGAGCGACGCAATCTACCTTGTCTTGAATGGACGGTTGCGGTCGGTTCTTGAACGCTCGGAGAACAAATTAGCCGTCATTGGCGAATACGGCCAAGGAGAAAGTGTGGGTGAGCTCGAGGTAATGACCGAGTCCACTCGCCCGGCTACTCTTCATGCGATCCGTGATACCGAACTGGCCAAGTTCCCCAGATCTCTCTTCAACAGCCTCGCCCAGGAACACCCAGGAATTACCATCCAAGTTTCGAAACTGATTGCGCAACGCATGCGGGATCTGGTCGAACGCCCGGTGACCGAAAAAGGAGTCGAACGAAGCAGCGCTGGTGGCGTGCAAACCGCAACCTCGACCGTCAATCTCCGCACCGTGGGCATTCTGCCCGTGACGGCGGGCGTTCCCGTGGTGGAATTCGGCAATCGACTCTTGCACGCTCTTCATCAAGTTGGAGTGATGAACGGGGTGACATCGCTCAACCAGGCGGCCATTCTGAATCACCTAGGGCGCCATGCGTTCAGCAAGATGGGCAAGCTCAAGTTGTCCCAATACCTTGCCGATCTGGAAGAGAAGTATGGCATGGTTCTTTACATCGCGGACACGAACGTGAACTCCCCGTGGACGCAAACATGCATCACGCAGGCCGATTGCATTCTTCTGGTCGGTCTGGCCGAATCATCTCCTAGTATCGGCGAGTATGAGAGGTTCCTGCTTGGCATGAAGACCACGGCTCGGAAAGAGCTCGTCTTGCTGCACTCGGAGCGGTATTGTTCGCCGGGACTGACTCGGCGGTGGTTGAAGAACCGAGTATGGATCAACGGCGGCCACCATCACATTCAAATGGCCTTCCGACTGACGGCCGAGCCTACGCATCCGGAGACCAAGCGCTTCGGAACGGCCCTCAAGCAACGGGTCCAGGTGCTTCAGGCTGAAATCCAAAAGTACACGTCGCGGAGGATTCGCCAGACACCTCTGTATTCCGCCCAATCCCCGTTCAAAGGCGATTTCCATCGTCTGGCGCGTCGACTGTGTGGTAGAGCTGTTGGGTTGGTGCTTGGCGGAGGAGGCGCAAGGGGTATTGCGCATGTTGGTGTGATCAAGGCACTCGAAGAGGCCGGGATCCCTGTTGACATCATCGGCGGCACATCGATCGGTTCGTTCATCGGTGCATTGTATGCTCGCGATGCAGACGTGGTTCCCATGTATGGCCGTGCGAAGAAGTTTGCTGGCCGCATGGGAAGCATGTGGCGGTTCGCGCTGGATCTGACCTACCCGACGGTCTCCTACACGACCGGCCACGAGTTCAACCGGGGAATCTTCAAGACCTTTGGTGATAGCCAGATCGAGGATTTCTGGCTTGAGTTCTACTGCAATACCACCAACATCAGCAAATCGCGCCCCGAGTACCACTCGTCGGGATATGTCTGGCGCTACGTGCGTGCGTCCATGTCGCTTGCGGGTTTGATCCCGCCGATTTGCGACGAGGGAAGCATGCTCCTCGATGGCGGCTACATTGACAATCTGACCGTCGATCATATGAAGGGTCTCGGCGCGGATGTGATCTTCGCCGTTGACGTGGGTTCTATCGACGACAACACGCCTCAAGTCTACGGAGACTCGCTCTCCGGATTCTGGTCCGTCTTTAATCGCTGGAACCCGTTCTCCGCGTGCCCCAATCCGCCAACGTTATCCGAAATCCAGGCACGTCTGGCCTATGTCTCGTCTATTGACAACCTGGAACGCGCCAAGAACATCCCGGGCTGTCTGTACATGCGTCCCCCTATAGATGGATACGGCACATTGGAGTTTGGCAAATTCGACGAGATCTACCAGGTCGGATACGCCTTTGGCAAGCAGTTTCTGGAGAAGCTGAAAACCGAAGGCTCCCTCCCTTTGCCCGAGGAGACTGAGGAGAAGAAGAAGCTGCAACGGACCCTGGCTCCCCGCCGAGCCAGTATATGATGTGGAAAGAGCATTTTGTCTTTGTTTTGAGCGTTCACTTGTTGCATTATACCAGAACTGACTCCTATCTGCATGCATGAACAAGACCCTTCCGGCTGTTCATGCTTATCTTGGGTTGACTTTGATGTACATACTCAGAGTGTACGATAGAATTAAAGCACAACGCAATGAGCATTGCATTTAAAGGATGCACTGAAGTCTCGACCCGTTACTACTTTGATAGACGCTAGACTAGAGGCTCAAAAGATGAGGCCAAAGCAGAAGACAAGGCTAAAGAGAAGTCGGGTGGAAGTCTGAGAAGAAGTCAGAAGATAAGAGAAGGGACAGTCCTCGATCACACGAGGCCACTACCTCCTTTGTCCGTCAGCTTCGTTCTTGTTCTCGGATTATGATCCTTCGGTGTCGCCTTCTTTTCCAGCTTCTCTACCTGTCCATTCAGCTCGATGACCTTGCCATCTGACATATGTTCGCCTGCTCCTTCGCTGCCTCGTTTGTCTTGTTCCTTCTGAGCCTTATTCCATAATTCCTTGGCTTCCTGGGCCTGGGCCTCGCGCTCTGTTTACTTTGGCCTTCTGAAGCGCCACATCGACATTCACCTTGAAAATGAAACCTTCCGATTGAAGTCTGAGGTACTGTAGAGCGAGTACTTGCACCACACAGGCTCTGCGACGGCCGCAGCGAAACAGTAGTATATTCCAGACACCGCATTTCCGAGGACGAGCATCGCAACATGTAGACTCAAATCAATGCATCATCAAAGCGGATGGTATGGTTATCTTGAGAACTCAGCAAAGTGGACAAAGACAAACGTGGGGTATCTCCACAGCCGCATTCAACCAAAGGTACATCACATCACATCACATCATTAGGGGGTATGGGAATTAGTACTAGTACTAGACATTAAAGCCATCCGAAAAAAAAAAATCAACACTTCGCTTCGCTTCTCCCTCAATCCCCAGACAAGCAGCACAAGAACCCCGGCTCGGCTCGGCTCGGCTCGGCTCGTGTCATCACCTCGTAGCTTCATCCCAGCGGCCGAAAGCAGCCAGCAGGCACCTAAACCGCCGTCGTCGTGGTCGCAGTCGCAGGCACAGCCCCGTGCCCATTCTTCTCGCGCAGGGGCGCAGGCGCACTCTCGCGACGGGATGCCCAGAGCGACGCGACTTCGAGGAACATGCCGGCGAAGGTGAAGAAGCTGGTTGCAGGGGTTAGCGTTCGCGTCCGCTACGGCTCCGAACCAAGGCCACCAAGGCAAAGGCAAAAGGTGCAGGGACATACAAAGCCAAGAAGATGAAAGCCTCGTTGGCCTTTTTCTTGCTGCAGTCGAGGAACGGGGGGGCGTGGAGGTAGCAGTTATTCAAGTTGTAGTCTTGCGCGGCGAAGATGAAGGCCGTGAGCCAGCTTTGCGTCCTGTTAGCTTGTCTCGGGTTGGGTGTTGTGGAGGGAGGGGAAGGCATACAGGTATGAGAAGATGACGTCGATGGCGAGGACGAATTTGCTCAAAGCCGTGGGCATGAATGGGGAGATGAAGGCGGGGAGGAAGAAGACGACCGACATTGTTGACTGCCTTGTCAGTATAGATATGGTGGGATGCGAGAGAGGAGACGTACGATGACTTCCTGGTAGATGATATGCTGGCCGCGAGGACCACGGTGGATGAAGTAGGAGGTGATGCCCATCACGATGACAGCGCTGGACCACTGCATCACGCGGGTGATGAGCTGTAGCGGACGAGCAACGGAACTCGAGAACATGGTTACTGTTCTTTGATACTAGATGAGGTGTAAAGGCAGGGACAGGTGTATGTGCTGCAGCGGGTGTACTCGTGTTCGCAGAGCCAACCGGGGTGTTGATGTATCGAGAGACAGCAAGTTAGGGACAGACTCGGTGCAGACTTTATATTTCCGCCAGAGGTATCACAGCAAGCCGAATCAACCGGAATCCAGGCTCGCTTCATGCGTCATAGCCCTTTGACCCTGTGAAAGGAATCGAGAACTCTACCGTTCATCTGCCTCCTCCGTGATCGAGCCACGATGGTGATTGGCTCGAGATGGGTGGTACAAGCGACCGAGCTCCCCAGCTCACCTTGCATACTGCGCAATGGGTACATGCTCGAAGAGGTGCAAAGGCAGTTCGAGTGGATTCTATCCCGTCAGTTGCGGTATGCAGCATACTGTTGTCCAACAAGCGGGGTGAAGCCTAATCCTCAATCAAGGGGTCCCCCATTGGGCTGCACATTGATCATCAGAAACCGGTCTGATCTGCACGGGAAGGTATCCGGAAGAGGTCCGAGGAAGTACACAAACAAGACAGTATGGAATCGCGCAGCCAGTCCAGACTGTGAGCTGGTGTTGCGTGACTGAGGAGGTCCAGTCGGCAATCCGCGGAATCGACGAGATAGTCTGCAGTCGGCTTTTCGTGAAGACTCGAGAGAGCTGATCGATTATCTTAGTAGTCACTAGCCAGAAGTCAATTCAGAACCTTGTTCTCATTCATCATAGCTGGAATGTGGATGAAAGTGTCAGGCGATTCGATCTGCATGCACTGACCAAGAGGGAACAAAGGTCTGTCGGCCTCAGAGTGTACCCTCTAACCGTAGTCATCAAAGGCACAACAGACTCGAAATGTAAACAAGTTCAGGAATCAGCAGGGATAAACCCGATAATGCAGGTTGATATCAGGCTAGCTTCGTCAAAAGTCCAAAGGTCTGGAATTTCCCAAGCCGGGACTGGGAGACACCCGGCTTCCAGGGAAGATCCCATTGATGGACTGATCGACCGAGTAACAGTGATCAGATGATCTTCAGAAAAAGCCCTTCTCAACCTTTTGTACTCTGTATTCCTGTTTGGTCTTTTCTCCTGGGACAAACGTTGGGATTGGCTTTGCCAACTGGACATCCGCCAAGTATCCCTGTGCGGTCGAGACAGTGGAAGCAGCACAGGATCGACAAGCACAACCAACCCAGTGAATCACCATACAGACGCCACCTGCGACGGGACCATCATGTGAAATGAGCATCGTCGCGCATCCGACCATCTATCTCCTGGCCAGCCCAGCGCCGACATCTTTGTCCAATTGCGGAACAGTCGGCACCCATGCATAGGATCCATCGGCTTCAACTACGGGATTGACTTTCAGCCTTGTCAATAGAGGTACTAGTAACCTTCTGTCTACAGGGCTGAGATCAGCATCAATAGCGAGAAACCCTCGCTACAATGATGTTTATCCGGATAACCTAACGGGAAAGCAGACTGTCATATGATTTGGACTGTCGTCTACTTTCAATCCGAGAAAAGCCCGACAACAGATGGATGTCTACATGAGTCAAATGATGGAACTCTCTTTGTTGTCTATCAGAGAGTACTCTTTCAATCCCTTACTGGAGGTCTGAACTCTGTACTCAACCCTGTTTTGGAGGAGTCTGTCTGCTTAGCTGTGCAGGTACTTGTGCATCTGCAGTAAAATGTCTGGGTAGTACAACTGTCATCTGATCCTCCAATTACTGAGAGAAGAATACATCAAGCCCGATCTGTGCGATTGATCTATCTTTTTTACTATCCAAGTACCATAACACTATTACATCACAAGCGGTTCGTAGGATGGCCTCTGAATCAACCTCCACCCTCACACAGATGTGATGCCATTTCCTTGACGCCAGACTCCCCAAGTCCTGCCCTCGCGCTATAAATACAAACATCATAAGAGGTAGATCTCTTCGTTCTCACCCGGTTCGAATCCACGTGGAGTCGAACCATATTACCACGAGGCGACATTGCCCAGGTCGTGCTCCTGTTATATCGTTAGTCATTCCACTCTGAACGTCCCAGTAGGTACATCACCTCGTACCTTAATGTACTCGCTGCCTTTTTCCAGGTATTCCTCCCGTGACACAGAGCAATTCTTTAATTGCGATCCCGATGCCCACTGTGCTGCACCCTTCCATGCGTCCAGTACCGGGTCCGCGGCCCGGCGCACATTTAGTTGTGCATCTACAGGCAGGAATCCCGGAAGCTCCCTGCGAAGTCGCTCATCGAACCCGTGGAAGAGAGTGTTGCCACCGGTGAGGAACACGTCACGCAGCAGTTTGGCCTGGTCCTCTGGGTTAGAGAACCGCTGATTGACAATACCGGCCGCAATCTCCAAGAGGCCAGCCTGGTCGATTCCGGCAATCGATGGCTTGAAAACGACCTCTGGCACCCGGATCCGCTCAACATTGAGATGGAGCTGATGAGCCTCACGCTGACTTTCAGGGTCAAATGGCCAGGGTCCACGCAGGAAAACATGTACCAGACTCTTGGTCCAGTCAGACTGCGCCGCGAGCGTGTGGTTCTCGGTAAACTCGGGATCGTACTGAAGAAGCTCGTTCTCAACGCTGTTGAGCATTCCGCCGAGGTCCTCCTCTTCCTCCTCGTCACTCTGTTCTCCGGTTGCCACTGTGCGATACACGCCCCAGTCCTCATCGTTGGCGCCGAAATCGTCGTCGTCACCACCTCTCCTTCGCTTCTTCGGCCCATCCGCAGCGAGGTTTGCGAGGGTTTTCATACGCATCTGGCTGGCAAGGGACTTCCGATTGCCTAAATCCGCCTTCATCCGATCGCGCTCCTTGATCTTTTGCAGGATATTCTACGAACAATCAGATATGTGATCAAATTCACGCGAGAAATCAACTCACCTGTCGAGCAGCTCTCCGTTCGGCAACCCAGTTCTCAAAGTCGTTCTCACGCTTCTCCCGATCCAGTCGCTCCTCTTCCTCTCTTCGTGCCTTCTCGCGTTCCTTCTCGGCCTTGGCACGTTGTCGAGCCTCGACGTTCGACTTCATGAGTCGCTGGTGGCGCTTCTCCTTCAAGCCTGCCTCGTCCAGTTCTTCGTCCGGAATATCGAGAAGCGGGAAAGACATATCTTCAGGAGGCTCTTCAGTCTCTTCAACTCCTAGATCTCGGTTTCTAGAGCGCTTGATGGATCGCTCGAGGTCACGGATCAGCCGGTCTAGATGAGCCTCGTCTTTCAGATCCTCGGAATCCAAGATGCGCCTCGCTTCCTTCTTGGTTTCAGATGCAAGCCCGCGCTGTAGGTCCTTCCAGTACTCTAGCTCCTGCTCTTTCTTCATCAACTTCTCGAGCCGCATTTTTGCGGCTTGCTCCTGCAGACGGCGTCCACTCTCCTTCTTCCGCTCCGCAATCCGCGCTAGTTCCTCCTCGGTTTTTTCCGGCACCACATGCTCCGTAAAAGGGTATTGAATGACATGGTCCCTGTCCTCAAGCCCTGTCCACTCGAGATAGCTGCTCAGCTCCCGGTCATAGTCCGTAGATACGTAGCAATGCTTGTGAACCAAATCTTCCATCTGGCTTTCGGTCATTCGGGTGGGAAACGTGGGGTACTTTAGCTTCATCAGCTTGAGCAAGTACTCTGACGCATGCATGCCACCCCAGTTCAACCGCGAGGAATTCGAGAGCAAGGCTTTCGAATTCAGGACAGGGATGACATGCGTCGATGTGTGGGACGAGGAGATAACCAGGCCATCGGTGCCTTTGTTGTACCGGTACGAAAACAGTGAGTCGATTCCGTAGGCGACAGATGGTGCCGAATAGCACTCGAACAGGATCTCGTTCATCACTACGCGGGTCAGATCACAGCTCGTGAAGATCAAGCCTTTACTCACTTCTTCTGGGGTAGTTCAGATTGGCGATCGGCTCTGTCATTACGATAGGCCGATCAACGCCTCCGTTGGCGCCATCAACGCCCAGTTTGATGAAGACGTAGTCCAGCAATCCCTCCATCACATCCCAGTTGCCAACCACACTTGTACCAGGATCAAAAGCATACCGCAGCTGGCCTCGAGTTGTAGCATCGACATAAGCGTCGTAACCGATAAATTGACAGGCTTTGTTGAGCTTTCGATCGCGGTACCGACTCATCACAGGGGGGAGGATGAAGCGCGGCGACTTGTCGAAAGACCAGCCCGCCTTGAGAAGACTTGATCCTGTAATAGCAAACCAGGGTCAGTATGTTAAGGCAATCATAGAAAGGAATAAGTGAAATAGAACCAACCATTGTCAATCACGATAGCGCTTGTAGCGGGTTTGGACCTGCTCCGTTCGTACCCATCAGGTTGCGGCGGTTGATACCCTTTGAACGGATTATCCTGGACATTATATAATTTCGGAGGAGGCTTCGGCGCGTTCTTCTCGGTTGAAGTGACCGCAAAGCGACCGGGCAAAAGGGTCTGCACTGAGGTAATCGTCATGGCGACTACCTGTAGAGGACAAATCGGAGCAGCGACTCAGGATCGGTGGTGGGCAATTCACCGCATCGTCAAATCAGTTGCAAGCAAGAATGTAATGAAATACAAGAAATTCGACGATTCGCAGTATACCGCACGATGCTGCTGCTCGGAATCAGTGGATGACGGAGCGAGCGTTGACCGTGAAGGCGATCAGAAGGAGGAATCTGAGCTTCAGTCCCCAGCTTTGCTCGGCGGAGAGGGAAGCGACTGGCAGCGTTTGTATACTGCCAAGCCTGACTGGCAGTTGATGAGATTGCTCCACACCTAGCAATAACATTCCATTATGTCTCTTCTGCATAATAGGTCTTTAATGGCTGCTTAGTCTTCCCCCTCTCTACATGCTCAGAATCTACGAAAAAGTGGAACAAGAATGAGAAGAATTTGATCGAAATATAGGTCGTTACCAGTCATTAAAAGCTAAATTCATAAGAACAGGCGTACAATCTCATCGTCTTTACGATGGCTCCTTCAGATTCTCCGTAGCTACACCAGATCAGCAAGACTGTAGCCTTCCGAGAGGTTGGACAACCCATACCTTCCAAGTGGAAGAGAACATTAGACTGGTAGTTCTTGAACATCTGAGCCACAAGCTCCACGTTCATGTTCTGGATATTGACCTCCTGGTAGACCACAGTGAGCATCAGACCATCAAACAAGAGCAGAGGAAGCGTACCTGAAGGCTCTTGTTCATGACCATGATTGATTCGTTGAGTTTCTCCTACTGGCGATCAGCCATCCAGGCCTCCAAGAAGGTGGTGATAGTAACATACAATGTTGCTGATAATTCGAGAAAGCAACAGCGCTTGTTGGTGCTCGTGTGGACTCTCCTAAAGTTTCTGATTAGTTTACATATTAACAGGACAAGTCAAGAAAGCTTCATTGACTCACCATTTTGACTTGTCATTAATCGAGATGGTCGCGATGTCGAGGCAATGTTTGTTTGTTGCTGGACTATTATCAACGGCAACACGTCACGTGATTTATAGTTGTCTTTGTCTCCCTGCCATCACTGCGCCCATGTGCGATAGGAGTATTTAGAATATAATATGAAACCAAAATTCTAAATTTCAGAGGTTTGAACTTGCTCAGCAGCTATTCTGTTATCCCAACACTGCGCCAACTGACTTTGGAGAGTGTCCGCCGTTTGTCATCCGGCTACCGTACCAGCGGAGAACCATGTTCCAGATAATTTGAGCTTCTACTGCGGCATTATTCAGGTTAAGATCTCTACAACGTCAAGACAGCACATCATCCACTCAATCCGCAACATCCTTTTCCAAATAATTATCAATCATGGGTGCCCCTCCTACTCCTGCCGAAAGTCAGGAACATCAGCAACTGCTCAACCGCCTGGACATCGCCCAGGTTCCACGCCCCTTCCGCAACCCGAACTGGAGGCCCTCGCAGCGTCGCAACAAGAACGTCAAACAACTTATCTCTGAGAACTCAAGAAAAGAGGCATCTGTTCTGGCGACACAGGCGAACTCTGGCGCATCGACTCCTTTACAACCCAGCACCGACGGCAGCCAAACGCCCGTTGAAAGCTCGGCTCGCTCGAACATCGCCCAGGCGGCGCAGAACCTATCGACGCTCGTCTTGGAGAAGAACGCAAGGGCCATGCTTCCATCGGGACCAGCGGTGACATATACCAACATTGAATCGGCTCCATCACTGCATCCGTCACAACACACGCGCTACTGCGATATCACGGGGCTTCCGGCACCATACACAGACCCCAAGACCCGACTCAGATACCATGATAAAGAGGTGTTCGGGGTCATTCGGACATTGAGCCAGGGCGTTCCGGAGAGCTATCTCGAACTGAGAGGAGCTCATGTCGTGCTGAAATAGACGGTTATCAATCTCACGTTACCGAAGTTCTACGGTTCGTGCGCACCAAAAGCAGGTAGGTTACAATACAGACACTCAGATTTCAGAGACTAATCTGTGGCTCTACTCTAAGACTATTACTTGCAAGATACAACAAGTGCATGTACGACCAACACAGTCAAGCCCTTTCCACCCGCCGTGCCCCTCTCGAGACAGGTTCAAGAAAGCGCTCCGGCTTATTCGTGATCTTTATGAGAATCGATCTTCGCCTCGTGCTGAGCACTCGACTATTACCGACGCTCCACGGTCGGAACGTCAGTTACAGCATCTGGGGATGCTGTCGTCGCGGCGTATACTGGGTTGTATATGGGAGAGGCCAGGAAACGACAGAAGGAAATCATGAGCAAAAGGTCGGGAACTCAAATATTCAGTACCCGAATTGATCATGGCTTGTCATTTCCGGACATTATCCAATTCCTCTAAGATTTTCGAGTTCGGATCCCAAGTCCGACCTCCAATGTTTTCGTAGTCAGTCCAATATGACCCTTTCCGCCTGCTAGCAGTCAGCATTTTGAATCATAGCAAGCGGAAACAGGGCATGAGTAGGCCATCGTAATCTCTGTGCAAGTTGCTTCCGCAGAGGCGATGAAAGACACGAGAGAAAAACACCTTGTTGTGCGGTTTTTGTAGTGCGTCCAAGCGCAACAGACCGCCCACCGCATCCGGAATAGACCACGCTCAGAACCAACAACGAACGTGGCAGAAACAAAAATGTTGGGGCCCTTGGGGGCTTGTTTACTGAGTTCTAAGGAGATTTCTGAATTTCCGCCAGACCGAAAGCGAAGCTGAGAGATTCGAGTACAACCTTTAGATTCCTCCCTGAAAATATAGTACTCGCCGTCGCGACACCGAACCTGCCTCCCGGTCTGAGAAAAGTCTCTTGACTACCGCGCACCGACCCAACCCCGATCGGCTTCTATAACGACGCTCTCGTCCTTGATAGTATATCTGCATCGGCCGGCCTGGGATTCCTATACGGGATTAACGAGCCTCCTCTGCTTGTGCACTGTGTGCAATACCCTCCGCGATTCAGCTGGCCAACCCTCAAGATGCCCACCATGTGGCTTTCAGACAACCAAAGTAGGACCGCCTGTCACCCGGAGCATCATGCCGCTCAGAAGCGCTTGCTAACATGTATAACAGAAATTGGTGTCATCTTTTGTTCTGCAGGTAGGCGAGACCGAATCCACCGCAAGGGATCCTTGGGTTCTTCCTTGTACGCTCAGCCAGGGATTGACGCGCGACTATAGGGGGCCTGTTTCTGTTCGGAGGCGTTCTGATGTTCTTTGATCGTTCGCTGTATGTACCCCTTTGCTATACCTTTCGGGAGCATCCATGCTAATTCCGGGACCCAACACAGGCTCGCGATGGGAAACGTGTGTACACCATTCTCGCAGATCCGGCGCTGCTACTGACGCGACAACCTTCCGAAAGACCATAACTAATGTCGCTGTCGTGCCAGGTCCTTTTCCTCATCGGCTTGACGTTGATCATTGGCTTTGAACGGACATTCGCCTTCTTCTCGCGCCGCCAAAAACTCAAGGGCACTGCCGCCTTCGCAGCAGGCATCCTCCTCATCCTGTTTCGCTGGCCACTGACAGGTTTCCTCATCGAATTATACGGTCTCTTCATCCTCTTCGGCGATTTCCTCGTAACAATCGGTCAGTTCGCAGGAAATATCCCGGTCGTCGGTCCTTATATCAAGACGGCACTGGAAACCTTGGCAGGTGGGAGACGGAACGCAGAGCTCCCGGTATAAACAATCACGGCGCACGCCGGACACCGTATGTTCTCGGGCGATAGACTTCCCACAAGGGAAAAGAGGAGTATCGACGATGTTACGTGTACGAATATACAGACATGAATGATGTCAAGACGGCCATGACCCGGCACGAAGATCAAGACCACTTTCTCGGCTGAGCGAGCCTAAAAGGATTGGGTCTGTATGAGCTGATGTGATATATCTTACAGTTTTGTAATTACTAATCCTTCGTGTGTCGGTAGCAGTCTCCTGTCACCGACTCGTATCTTTCTTCGGTGCACTATATAAGACATGAATAGAAATAGGCAAATTCAACGCTGGATGTGCATCGTATACTATACATAAGGACTTGGACATATGGCATATGATCCAAGCATTGTCATCGTTAGAACCACGAGTGTACTAAAACCAGTACCTATTGAACATATCTGTGTGCTATGGACAATCGAGTAAGACAAGACGCTGAGAAGAAAGGGTCACCAGCATAGTTTCACATCCGACTAAGAAAAAGGTGGTACACCGCTCTTCTGCCGTTTCAAAATAAATAGAAAAAAAGAAAATCGAACAATCAAGACAACTTCATTTTCCGCGCTCCTCTATCGTCTACCGGGGGTTGTTGATGTAGTCGACGAGGTTCTCGACAACGGTTGCGGCGTTGGTGGTCTGGACGGACTCGCCGTGGTGGGCGACCATGACGCAAGAGACGGCCTTGACGACGACGATGCCCTCCTTGCCCTATAGTGATCGACCATTAGCATTCACCATCTTCCCATTGCTAACCTCCCAGGACGATGACTGCATATGGAAATGTAGTTGGATACCTTCTTGCCGTAAAGACTGCGCTCGTCGGCCTTAATGGCGACGAACTTGTCTCCTCCGACCACAAGACCGGTTTCAAAAGCACTGCCGGGCTTGTCGAAAGCAGCCTTCAGACCGGCGATTTCCTCCTTCGAGATCTATAGCGAGGCGAAGAAAGTTATTGACGAGATCACGAGGGTGGTTATTTCCGCAGACATTGCCAGGGATTGGCCGGAAGCTCCGCCAGAAGTGATGCCAATATCGGAACGCTCTTCATACCTTGAAAGTGGGGGACTGGGCCTCGACGTCGGAGAAGTCATAGCTCAGGATGGCGGCCTTGTCGAACTGGCCGGAGCCCATCAGACTGGAAGATTTGGCTCATGTCAGAAGGAATGCGGATCTCGAAGAAGATAGGTGATGCAGCGAGGGCGGGGTAGAGGTGGGATTGTACGATACCTGGAATCAACATATCCTGTTCGGTAGAGTTGAGACGTTAGCTCTGTTTATCTTCTGTAATAACCATAAAGGATTGCAAAATCCTGCTAATGCAGATAACCAACATATCCATCGAAATAGCCATACCTTGCCAAACTGCCGAGTGCTGACCCATGTTGGTGGTTGTGTAAACAAATTAACAGGATGGAGCGGGTAAGGGGAAGCTATATTGCTCGAGTCGTTAGATGAAACGGGACAAGCCAAGAGGGATAAACCAGCAGGGATTACACTCACAGAAAGAGAAGGGAAGAAAGCGACAAGAAGTCACAGCAAAAAGTTGGAGATGATGATGATGGTTGTGGGTTGAAGAGGGGAAGAGAGCACAAGGCGATATTTAGAGAGTGGTGGTGGGCGAGAGAGAGACAGCAACGACAAGCTAAGTCAAGGTGGGGTGGACTATCCGTAAATTATTATGATGACTATGATGGAGACAATGCCCCGCCATTCTTCGTGATGGTAATAACTACTGAGAGAGATTGTGAGTCTGTGTCTGGCAATTGAATCCATTCCTCGCCCTCATAATATTATCCTAAATCTCATTCTAGGGTCTGTTGCTTATGTTATTCCTCAAAATATACCCTGATACCTCTCTACACTGTCCGCTCTCTCCATACTCGCTGACGAAGAACTGCCACTTTGCAGCGGTGGTATCGCAATGGCTCTAGTTTGAAAGGCACCCATCTTAGTTGAGGATAGTTGCTAGGCTATACTTCTGCTTTGTCTAAGTATGTGCAAGTCTCTTTCCACAGTTCCACTTTAAACAGAAACCCAGCAACACCCACCGATCAACAGAGTTTGTCCTTTGGCCTTCTCACCATTTCTTTCCGTCATCCTCAGGGTCCTCTTCACCGCCTGTTCTTGTTGATGTATGTACCCGACTCTCGATACTAAAGGGGTGCTCAGCGCCTATCTTGAGATGTTGTAGTCTGCGTAGTTGAGGGTCATGGATTTGTATGGGGCACGTGTCTGTCATCTGTAGTCACTAGTCAGCCGGTCACGCGTCGATCATGTTGTGTGTCTCTTGCCGCTTTGGGATTGTTCTTTTCTTCAATAACTTCTCCTTCGACTAGACTTTGACTCTTCTTACGGGACTGAATGTTCCATCAAAGAACTCTGTACAAGAATAGCTTGTCTTTTCAGCTTTCAACTTTCCAAGCCTTGAAGTCAACTTCCCACGCCTCTATCGTTGCGGATAACCATACCATTCCCATTTTCGCTTCATGTAACAATAGTCGATGATGCGGTATAATGTGATTCATTGACAATATGATGCAGGGCGCTTTTCATCTAGTGACACAAGCTTCGCGATCAGACCTAGCTACACTGGATCTGTCTTCATCACGAAGTTCATGATTGTCTTGCCAGAGGAGATGAAGCAGATTAGAGCAACCTCCTTCGTTGCGATTTCCCGCGAAAGGACCTGTATTCTGAATCATTGTCCATTGCAAAAATCCTCCCTCGAGTTCTCAGATCATCGGACGACTCAGCCTTATTACAGGATCAGAGGGTGACAAGAGGCCTGTGCTGTCCACGCAGCTCCTGGCGCTTAACCTATGCTTGTTGATCATGACGCTTCTCCCATGATTAACCCTGCAGGTGGTTCGAAGGTACCATGAATGCTAATTCATAATGTGGCCGGAGAGGACAGCCCGCAATTTTAGCCAGCTGTGTGAGATACGCAAAGCTAACTTCGACTTGAAACTATCTTAGGCTCCCGGGTTGTTGAAAAATCATTGGCTGATCCACCGTTGTTTCAGAAAGAATGAAACCTCACACTTTAATGACTAGGGCATCCTGACAGGGGGTCCGGAATTCTTTCATTTGATGTTGTTATTGGTACGCCCAGCGGAATCCCCGAATTTCGCTCGCCCGTGGTTCGACATTGGACTTGAATTCTGCGACAACTTTCGATACCGCAATCAAATGAAGCATCCTGTGAGACATTTGAAGGCGTCGAGTGACTGCAGCCTGCACTCATGCACTGATATCTCCCTGCGCGTCTCCCTTCCCCCGATGATGCTGGTCAGATGGACACTATACAGCCCGCGCTACACAGATTATTCGGCTGGTCATCTCTTGTCCCCAGGCGGCGCTAAATGAAATGTTCCTTTAGACTCTGACGGCTTCGTCAAATCTACATTTAATCTAAATTCTGATACTAGTCAGCCCCCAGCCAACGGTATCAACCAGAGGCAATCAATGGATAATGCTCGTGTGCCTGATGCTCCACATTGGTCAGTTACTAGATCCCAGGCGAATCGTGTCTGGGCCTTCTTTTATTATCCGACTTGAAGCCACTCTCCGTGTCATTGTTGCTGTTGCTTTCTCTCCCGTTATTGCTCACGACCACTGCTGGCCTTCTGGAAGGCTGTCCATTCGTTATTATTTTTGATTTCGAGACTGTGTCTTTCATTCATTCTCTAGACTCACATTCACTCTTTTACATTCCTCCTTCTGTATCACACCCCCTTCATTTCCTTGCTCTTGTGGGCACGGCGGCGCCAGCGCAGTCGGCCACACAGGCAGCGAAATGGCTCGAGGCATCTTTTTAGGGAGGTCGCGCACACCACAGCCAATGGAGCTCATTTCAAACCCGGTTCTGAAGTATTCGGACGCATTGCCTCGGACGGATTTGAGAGATGTCGACAACGTCGCCAACGGTCGCCCTGTAAACCGCGCCGTTGCGCAATGGGACTTGCAGCGCCCCAGAACAGCAGATGGACGTAAACAGATCAAGAAGGGACAAGGCCTCAATCCCGGCTTCGACTTTCGGATCGCCATACCTCCCGCTGAAGCAGTGCCTTTGCCCAAGAGCCCTGATGATGATCCAAACTCACACATGATCGGCATAGCCTTGGGTAGCCCTCGCATGGCAGAACCGCAGAGCATGCTCTCGCAAATGCAAGAACAGCCGCCCGTTTCAACTTCGGCAAGCTCCGAGCAAGCGTCGCCTCAAGCGTCACCTCCAAAGCGCAAACCGAGTAAATGGAGGAAGATTGGCGGATTATTCAAGGCCAAGAATGGTATGGCAGCTACCGCCAACCAGCCATTCTATCAGGTTCGCTGTAATGAGGAGTGGCCTCTACAGGAATCCACGCATTCAGTCGACTACCAACAGCAATGCGAGGCTGAAAACACGGCTCCTCCGCCTCCCAATTTAGAAATATGGCCGTGTCTTGAGGCGGAGAATGAACCCAAATCCAACGATCAAAGCAACTTGGTGACGGCTCCTCACGACTCAGCCAAGAATAATGGCCTTGTATCTGATGCAAAGCCACGCACTGCAGGACCTTTTCTGCAAATCGACATTCCCGATGTTCAGCTAGAAAGGTATAGCGTCATGTTTGGCGGCGTTCTAAATCAAAACGAGCCGTCGTTGTTGAAGAGGCGGAGTAAGACTTTGGAGGATGTGAGCATCCCAAAGCCAGGGGTATATATCATGATCTTCTGCGCATGTATGTTCTTTTGACTGACGCCGTGATTAGGCAGCCCTACCATCACCGGACTTGCACCCTCCTCGACGACGGGCGACATCGCCGCGACCACTACATCCCAGCTTCAATCTGTTCCCAGCGCAAATACCTGTCAGCAAGGCGTCGAAGGTTCTGGGCTCTCAGAACATACCAAGAGGCCCCAGCCCTCTCCATCGAAGCCAAACATCGCCCTCTCGATTGGGCCAAGAGACACCCACGGATGAGCCAAGTCACGTCCTTTTGAGGGTGCAGAGTCCATCCATCAAGTCGCCCAAGTCGCATCAAACCAAGAACTCCGTCTCATCGATTCTGTCAACAGTGTCAATGGACTCCACCGAGGAAGAGCGCCTTCTGCAGAAACTCAAGCAGACAAAAATCCACGTGGACACAGAACAGGAGCCTGAATGGGAAATCATCAGCAAGACGACAACCAAGTCCTCAAGCCCAAGTCCGAGCCCGATTCAGAACCCGACCCCCAGCCCAAGGCAGAGAACACCACCCCTGGCCCTAACTATCAGCACGCAAAACCTGCTATCCGCGGGGTCCAGCATAAGCTCCGCTCCATCCCCCCGCCTCACACCCATCAACTCCGCTGCGCGCGACAAGACCGAGCGCATCAGATCCCCCATCGAAACTCTATCCGCACTCTCCCCGTCCTCGACCACACGCATGCCCCTCAGCGATGATAACGAGGACATCGAATCGAACGAGCCCATGGACCCCATCCCCAAGGTCGAAGTCTCCATCGCCAGATCCGTCTCCGTCTCGCGAGGGAAGAAGCAGGTCATCGTACCCATCAGGCCGAGGACGGATAGACTGAGTCCCGATGAGAGGCTCGTCGTCCGACGGGCGAAAACCCCACAGGTACGAGACGCGCACCACGGTCATCGGCATGGGAACTCGCAGGACGCGCGCATCGAAACTATATAAACCCCAGCGTGAAACTGGTCATTCTATATTTTTGCTCGTGTCTCAGCACAGGCAGCGAATTTCTTTCTTCTGACTGCGTCCTTGGTGACGAGTCATTATTTATTCACGTCCATTCAGCTTCTGCATTGCATTGAGGCTCGATCTTTTGGTTATTACAGTCAATTGTTCGTTTCGGCGGTGCCAGGGCGATCTTCCCTTTCTTGTGTACATGTTTTATCTGCGGGCAGTTCAGGTGATGGGAAGTACTAGGGGCGTGGAGTTATCTTAGGTTATACTATTGGAATTTCATATATGACGAGTCAACGTTTCATCTCAGATTGTTGCGCACCTATCATCGAGTCTATAAGGAGAAGAGGACGAATGCCATATTTCCTTCCTGACTTGTCCCGAAACCAAGGTGAGTAATTACGCCTTTTCAGGATAATTCGACGACTCAGGCAAACTCTGCGTCGCAGGCTTCAACTCCGCCTCCACATTCGATACCACCCACTCCATCCCCGGATAAGTATCACTGATAACCTTGACATTCACACCCTTCCCGGTCGCACTGGTATACTGCGCCAGGAAATCCTGCGGGAACTTGACAGACGACCGCACAGTGAGCGGGCCATTCCGATGATTATTCCTGCCGGAGGGATTTTGGCTGGAGCCGGAATGGGAGCCCTTATTTCTGCCATTTGGTGGCCAGGACACGCGTTTCAAGGCAAGCAACTCGCCGTCTTTGCCATCTGCCGAGGCGCTGCAGACGATTAAGAAGTATCCCTCCGTTTGGGGCTTGGGGAAGCGAGGGGCGTAGGCTCTGTATTCGGGGTTTGTGGGAGGGTTGCGGCGACTCAGAGATACAGTGATACCGGTCGAGGAGACATTGGCGACGGACACGGAGACTTGCGGTAGGTACGAGGCGGCCTTGGTGAATTGGGCAGGAAGTTGCAGTTTCCGTGCAAGACTGGAGACGGAGGCTGTGGGGAGGGATGAGAGCGCAACGAGGGAGCCTGGGAGGCCCTGCAGCTTGCTTGTGGGCTCGACGCCGGGAAGAATCGACAGTGCATTGTCCTCGGGCCATCTTGCGGACTTGATGCTCTGGAGCAGGCTCATGAGCATCTCGCAGGCACGGAGATAGCCCAGTTCAGCCATGATGTCGATAGAGGCTTGGATGATACGGATGCCTTGATCCAGGACGGATGTCTGGTCACCGACGTAGTCGGAAATCGGAAGATCGATCCGCGACATGTAGGCCTGCAAAAGCAGGAATGCCTTGACGTGTGGATCCCACAGTGGAAGGTCCCCCATGGACTCAACCGACAGGGGTAGATTGCGAGCTAACTCGGCATTAATGAGATCTTCGTTGTGTCTCACAGGCAGCTCGTCGAATTCTGTGGCGGAACACATCCAGCTAAGCACGTCATGGAACGTGGGATTGGGCTTCGCATGCGACATCAGATACCGGACAGTCTTGTGCGAGAGATAGTAGTAACTCATGATCTTGCCGAAAGGCGTTGAGTCGACCTCGCCAGTTGCCGAGTCAAACACAACACAAGATGACTCTGCCAACTCGCCAAGGGACTTGTCGACCAACTCAATCATGAAGTCCTGAGCTATTGCTTGAGCAGCCATCGTATTATGCTCCTCCGCCGAAATCTCAAGCCCATAATACGAGGGATTCTTGTGCAGTCTGCGGAAGAAAAATGTCCACGTCAAGTAGTCCAGAGCGTCTTGCTTGGTTGCGATTGTGCCGGCGGAAATTTCGGCCCCCAAATGATTGTCCAGGACCTTGTGCAGAGTAGACTCGACCGGGAAGCCTGTGTGCAGGAAATGCTTGTAGAAAGCTTTCTTCGATTCTTGGGTAAAGATGCGTGCAATACCGGACGAATCGAACTGCGGACGTCCAGCACGACCCAGCATTTGCAGAACATCGGTCAAGTCCATATCTTTGTAACCTTCAATTTTCGCGTCGAAGTACTGCGTGCCTTTGACCACCACAAGATGAGCCGGAAGATTGACACCCCACGCGAGGGTGCTTGTTGCCACGAGAATCTGAATTTTATTGTTCGCGAAAAGTTCCTCCGCCAGTTGTCGGTCAGACTCGACTAAACCGGCATGGTGCAAGCCGATACCGAAACTGAGTGCTTCGCGGAGGGCTTCGTCTTTGACTCTCGCGAGATTGAGTTGCAGGTCCTCCTCCGACATACGCACGAAGCGACGCGGATTGTCTTCCATGCCGCAGTAATTTATCAGGTCTTTCGCAGTCAGTCGAGTTTGTCTTCGGGACGCAACAAAGACGATCACAGGCTTCTCTGGAGAGTGGCTCTTGATCGCAAGGAATGTAGGACGGTTCATTGACTGCATGAGCGGGCAGAATCCACGTTGCTCAGGGAATCCATCAATGTAGATCTCCAAGGGTACTGGACGCACAGAGTGTCGGAAATTGTACAGCCCCTCTTTGACTCCCAGCCAGTTGGCCAGATCAGTGGCATTTGCACAAGCCGTAGACATACCCATCAGCCGAACGGAACCCTTGGATTGCGATGCAATATAGTTCATACGGGACACGATAATCTCCAGAATGGGGCCTCGATCACCGCCTAACAGGTGGATTTCGTCGATGATTACCAAGCTCACTTTCCGCACATAATCTCTGGTCTGCCAACTACGAGAGATACCGTCCCATTTCTCAGGAGTCGTGATAATGATATCTGCGTCCCGGATGGTCCTCGTATCAGGAGTGTTGTCACCTGTCAACTCGACCAACTTCAGACCCATTGGTGCGGCGAGACGCTTTCCCCAGTCCTGGACTCGCTCGCGGACGAGAGCTTTCATCGGCGCAATATACACAACCTTTGAACCTGGTTTCTCCCTGAAAGCCCACCACATTGCCAGCTCACAAGCCACTGTCTTTCCACTTCCAGTTGGAGAACCGAGGAGAACATTGGCTGAAGTGTGGTACAGCAGATGGAAGATCTGTGTCTGCATTGGGTTGAAGAACTGGAAGCGTTGGCCGTAGAGTTCTTCCAAGATGGGATTTTGAAGGGCAGAGATAGGTAGAGGCTGTAGATTAAGTAGGTCCGTGTACACGCTTTCCGTGTCTGGACGGATCAAATGCTGGAATGAGACGGGTGTCACTGTCTCTGCACCCAACCAGCGATCAGAGATTGCACGAACGTAGATCTGGCTTGGTAAAGGGTCTGAGAGAGGAATGGTGAAGTTGAGCTCATGTTCATCGTGCAACTTCTTCCGACCGAGAATGAAGTATTCGTGGTGATAAATCTCCGAGGTTTCCGAGTTCTCGACCCAGATCCAGTATGATTCCGAGACTCCATGGTGCCTGTCATTCCAAGAGAACTCAGGGTACAGGCACAGCCGGATTCGCAAGACGTCACGATTTAGAGGAGCAATCTCGGCCTCCACGCTAAGAGTAGGGAAATTGTCCAGTAATTTGGACAGCGTCTTCCCCATGCGCTGGTTATGGACGAGCTGGCCGATTTCAACAACATCCATTTCCCTCATCGACTCTAGGGATGAAGCGGGCAACTTCTCATCTAGATTCTTGAGGACCGGTTGGGGGAGGTCGAATTGATGGAATGGGTGATCAAAAGGCCAGATCTGTTTCTCAATAGATTTGCAGAGCGACAGAAGCACCTGGCATTGATAACCCCACCGGCGATTCAACGCAATCATGAAGAGAGCACGGCAGATACGAGCAGCATTCTGCGCCACGTAGCCCATATCGGAAACCAGAGCGAAGTCCTCGAGCTTTGCGCGGGAGATGTATGACTGCAGAAGAATATTGGTCTTCGCGTGGGGGGAATCGTTGCCGCCTTCGACTTCTGTCTGTATAGCTTCGTCACGAAGCCGGTCTAGCTCTTTCGACTCATTGTCTCGAGCTTGAATATTGTCGAATTCGCCACTCATACTGATCATCCTCAGGACATCCGCCTCACCAGAACGAGGGCGCATCATCTCGTTGAAGATCTCAATACTGGTTTGCAAAACATAATACTGACTTGCAATACGACCGACGTCCTTTGCTCGCAGTTCCTCGGTTTTCTCGTTGAATATGATCATCTGACTCTTTTGCAGGACGCGCGCAGCCTGAATGATTAGTTGGCGCCGTCTCTGCACCAACATGGGATCATCGCGTATCTCGGCGAAATCGATGCCGTAATTGCGCGGCTCGCGTAACATGCGGACAAAGAGATACGAGTAACCGAGCCATTGCACCGCCTCGGAAACAGAGGTGACTGTACCGAGAGAGATCTCGGCATTCAGGTTGTCCACGAGTCGACTGGAAAACCGAGATTCAATCGGCTGCTGCGAGGTCACCGCAGACAGGTAATGGTGCAGTTTGTCATGTGTAGTACAGATGAAGCCAATACCAGTGTCTTGGAATTGGGGACGTCCAGCACGTCCGAAGATCTGCAGGACATCAAGGATACCTAGGTCGACAAATTTACCTTCCTGAGGATTATACAGCTGAGTGCCTTTGATCACAACTGCGGCGGCGGGAAGGTTGACACCCCAGGCAAGAGTGGCAGTACAGCAGAGCACCTTGATCAGGCCCTCGGAGAACATGCGCTCCATCAGGTTGCGATCACTTCGAGTCATTCCGGCATGGTGTGTACCGAATCCGCTGGCGAACAAGTCCCTCAACTCACGCGCGCGGGCATGTTTCATATCTCTAAGGGCGTTGGAGTAGTTCTCGTGTTCATGGCAGCTGAAGAGGTCTTCGCAGCCATTCTCGACAGCCATTTGCCGCAGCATTCGAGCGGTCAAAACAGTGTCTTTCCGTGAATGCACAAAGACCATGATTTGATGCCCTCGCTCGAGCATTTCACGCACTTTCTCGAATGCGACAATGTCCAGATTTTCGCGGGATTGCTTTGAGCCCGGCTTTCCTTTCACACCAATGAAATGCTGCTCGAGAGGGACAGGTCTAAACGACGCATCAAAGAAGAACAGTCCAGCCATCTTGTTCACTTTCAGAAAGTCGGCGACGTCGACAT